TGGTATGTTATCCACAGAATGACTAATCTTCTGTAATAAGAGCACTCTGGGCTGCTGTCAACAATTATATTAGTTTGTAGTTTATTCAAAAGGAAGAAAACTTAATGTAGAGCACAATTTCATAGTATGATTTTAAACAGACTAATAAATACCTGGCTAATTTACAGACAAAGTGTTTGTATGTGATAAATAAAAGTCTTTGATGAGCTTCACAAAAACTGTTCTAGTTGAATAAACATCATTTCTGAAACTGCAGGGAAAGGAATTGACAACTTAAGTAACAAATACAGGTACATGCATTTGGTAGAGGCAACACTCTTCAGCCTGACACCTTTTTGCATATTGTTTCTTATGTACATGTAATTTTACATTGATTTCTCTCACTGGATGTTTGCCATTGTGAAAGCAGTATGGCCAGTTGATGTGATTAAATGTGTTCGGTAGTTTTCAGTGTCAACCATCAGGCTCCTTTTGGGGATAAATGTTGGACATGTTAGATGCAAATGATATTGTAAATTGCTTCTTTTTGGTATTGAGTGCCAAAGTGAATATGTCACACCCACAATTACTGTATAAAAGGATTAGCGCAAGAACCAGAGGGTGAACTAACTCATGCATGTACTCCATTCCTTTGCACTGTACTTTCTGGTTCACAGTGACGTCACACTTTGGTACTCTATGGCTGGAGGCATTTTAGTCTCTCAGTTTTGATTTTGACCAAAAAAGGTTGAAAATTTTTTATGACAGGGAGATCATGGCAGAGTATTCAGACACGAGTGCTCGTGCTCGGCGCCTGTCCATAGCCCACGAGGCCTACCTCATGGGCAAAGTACCCGCTCACAACCAGGTTACTGAAGAAGATCTGATGATCTACATGCGCTGGCTGACATGCCATCTACACTCCACCAAAAAAATACATGCATACCTCCGGGTAAGCTGCATATTGTTGATTTAAGTGTTTGAAGCTTTGTTGAAAAAAAAATATTGGGGGGTTAATAAGAAATGAATAATCTGTTCCAGCTAGTAGTTGGTATGCCATTTTTCGCAGCCATTATAGTCTGTGCATCTACAGTATTAGGGGGAAATATAATTTTAACATTTTCATCACACACAATTTGTTGATGATTTTATCTTCGGATCAGCAATATTGCAGGGAAAAAAAACTCTGTAAAGAATTCAGAATCACCAGTACTAGTATGGACACATCCCCGATTATCAATATCCTGTTTAGTTTTTCTGTACAGAGGGAATCATTGATGTAAAAATAGTTAAGTATGGAGTTCCATTGAGTGAAAGCAAAATGTGAACAACAATGAGATTTTGAAAATGATTCGACTAGAGTCCTTTAAGTGTGACTGTATCGGGCACTACAAAGCAACTGACTTGTGGTGGAACTATATTCACACTCCAAAAGCTTAATGTCTTTTTTATGTGTGGCTAGATCCTGGAGTGGCTGCCTGTCTCCCACAAGCATGAGTCCCTGCCCCCACCACACCACCAACACATTCAGGATGCGGAGAAAGGGGAGGAGGGCAATGATGACCAGAACTTGATGGCATCCGGCACTATCCCTAATCCGTCCCCCCGTATCATCCAGAGCCAGGGCCGCTGGTCCATCTTTGACGGCCGCATGTCCCTGACCGATCCCATGGGCACCCTGTCCAGCATGGGTAGGGGGTCACTTATGACCGACCAGTTCCGACAGTCATCCCCGCTGGTGGAGCAGTCGGAATCGGACGGCGCCAGTGATACTGCCTCCATCATGTCCTCATCTGTTAACATGGGCGGCACTAACACAGTCCCTCATACTGCACGGGCCATTGCTGCTGCAGCAGCTGCAGGTCAGATCAGTAACATCTGCATAGAGCTGTATAGAATTTGCTAGAGTGCTCTAGAAACCCCCAGTTAAGCTAGATTGCGTGTAGGCACATGTAGGTAGGGTCTATTTATTTCATGCGGATCCGGATCACAAGCAGTGATCTGTCACTGGTTCACTGACACCAGAACCAGTGTAATGGATAGCGTGAACCAACAGGCTCAAAACCCTCCCTCTCCAGCATTCTACCCAGGTGAATAGAATTTGTGAGGGATTTCTCAGTCCAAATCATCGGAGGATTATTGTCTTTGAAAAATCTTTGCATTACATGCAGTATCTCTGGCCTTCACTCATTCAGGTTTTATTGTATACCTTTTCTGTGAATTTGAAAGTGTACACACTGTGATTTCAATGCTTATGTGTTATATCAATCCAAGGAAAAAGGAGGGATGTTTGGATGGGGGAAAACGCACGTGGAGATCTTAATAAATTTACTTAAATTTGCCTTAATGTACAAGGAACTAGCCAGCACTCAAGCCATTTTGTGTTCAGCTCTGTGATAACACAAATGTACATGTAGGGCCAGTTGTACAGTGTATGAAATAAATTTGAAGATAATTAGATTAAAGAAAACGTAATAGGATTATAAATGCAAAAGTGTAATACAGATTCAAAATCTTTACCAGATGTATATAGCGTTTGAAAGTAGAACTTCGTCTTTTGAAACAAGTTGTTTTGTCTTCAGAGCAAGTCAGTAATCAAAGTTGCTAAAGTGTACTTGTAAGTTTGCCATAGAACCCAGTTCATTTGATGAAGTACATGTACATGTACAGCTGGCTCACACTAAAATAATGTATCACTTTCCAGGGAAGTCTTAAAGATTGTATTCTAATTATAACCGTATCACTATACCTAGTGGTTTTCAACCTAACTTTTCAAACAATAACTATTCTACAATATGGGAAACATAATCACTAACATTGCTCTATATTTCTTTCTATAATTCTAACTGGCATTGGTTTGGCCATGAAAGGAAAATCAGACAATTTGTTTTTGAAAAAACACCCACATCAATCATCTGGTGCTGAAATTTGATTGTCAGTTGGAGGCATATGTAATCTCTCTTCTCAGTTTGATAATTATGCAGAACTTAATGCATCATCCCAGTGTGGAAGGAGTTGAGTGAGTTTAGATAATCATGCATACCTGTACATGTATGTGTGTCATTCGGCAGACCATATATTTGAACAATGTGATGTGCGTTATAATGTCAGCAGTATTTACTACATAAATTCTATTACATGTATCTAATACAAAATGTGATCTGACCAATCGCACTGCTGCCTCATCTACGTCACATTATGCAGTGTAGTTTTCACTACAAAGAGTATTGTTCTTTGCACATGTACATGTACCTACATGTATAAACACACCAGTAGCAAGAGTCACTAAAGTTGGAGTGAGCAACTGTGCCGTTGTTACAGACAATTCCTCTATTCTACTCAGTCATGGTTCAAAACTGCAAGTTTTTAAGGTGATTGAGAGTTGTTTCTTCCAAGAGCCAGGCTCTTAACATTTAAGAGCATTTTTACTGGCAATTTAAAGACTGTTGACTCCCTTTCTATTATTTGAAAACTTGCCACATGTGGTTTTTAACAGACGATAGAAGTACATGTACCAACTTTTTGAAAACCGTTTCCCGGTTTCATGTGAAGTTTGACTTCCATTCTGTTGACAATCATCATTGTCGTGAAGGCATGCATAATAGAGCCTGAAAGTTGACCCGTGATGGCATGTTTCCGGAACCTTTGGATAAAAAATATAATGTGCAAAGATTTTAGAATTTGCAGTATTTTTTCGTTCAGGTACTTCTTAAAAAATCCAACTTGGAAAAAGGGCTTTGGAAAATTTTTGCTAGTACATCAATTTATAGAAACTGAAAAAATACCTGACCATTTGTATGGCCATTTGCTTCACAAAACATGGGTTAAAGTAGATAAAAAATCGCAAAACCAGCTTGGACATTGGGGATGAAAACAGTAGTAGTCATTCGTAATGCAACATGTGCTACTTCAGGGCCGGTTTTGCTGCTCATTACATTGTGGGCAAAAAGTCATGTATGATTTTCCTCTATCATGAGGACTGTGTAAATTTTGGCATCAAGTTGGAATACATGTACATATAAAATGACGGTTATTGTATGTATTGACGAGGCTCAGAATGCGGCAAGAGTTCAGACAAGCTATTTGGCTTGTAACAACAGCAGCCCTCAAGCCTGAAAAAACCCATGCATTTCCACAGATGGAAATCTTACCAACACTCCAACTTTAATGGTCTCAAGTTTATATGTAGCAGCATATGGTGGTGGGACTTCAAACATGGATGTACTTACATGTACATGTCTAAACCATTACCCATTTAGTATACGTATTGTGCAAGATGATAGAAAGTGCATAGTTTCTCATACTAAATTCACTGACATTTGCTATTTTTTGAGATTTGTTTTTTTCATACTTGATATCATGGACAGTTCCATAGTACTGGAATGATATTTTAAAAGTGTTGTTGTGTGAACACTTTTACGAGTAAAATACAAGGTAGCAAAAATGACCACTAATGCACTAGTTCAAGCACCGAATTGGGAATGACATTATTTTGATATAATTATTTATTGTCATTCCATTTCCAAACTCAGTGTGGTGTAGAAAAAAAATTGAAATGCAGCTTGAAGTTGTCAGCTGTACCACATCAGTAGTCCCTTTTCTGCTTTACAAGTATATTTTTTATTTGTAAAGGTATTCACAAGTGTGTTTAAATCTGATTCCATTGTTGCAAAATTACCCTGATGTTAAAGAATCAAACTTGGTCTATCATGGTTGCCTGTGATTTTCTCTAGTATTTTAGATGGACCTCATTTCCAGCAAAGATGCCATAAAAGTCAGAAAGAAGAAATGCTATTCTTTTTCATTGCTAGAATTAGTCGCAGCAAGATGTACATGTATTAACCTAGAGATAGAAACACATTATTCATTACATGTTGTCGTAGTTTAGTGAATGCATAACTGTGGATAGAGCAACATGTATTGTTGAAGTTGTTGTTTCAACTTTCAGTGCTGAATGGGTTTTCTTTTGTACCTCAGGGGGAGGGCCTGCCTCCAACTCAGACACTCTGGGCATACCATGCCACGTCACAGACTTGGACCACCTAAGACCACAGCTAGAGTTTCTTATGTCATGTTATGGCATCCATGCAGTAAGTGGCCTGTCGGAATAATCTGGCTGTGGTTGGCAAGAACAGATGTGCCTATAGACACATGTTATATATGTATACTATATTATCTAGCCACTGCTAACTAATGTGGTCGTAATTGTCATCAAAGGAACCCAAGGACTCAAGTAACTTTTAAACTCACAATCTATATTGAGACTGTACTGTGAACTGAATCTTGGCAGCAGAGATGAAAGGAGAAGAATTTGACAGAGGAAACTAATTCACTCAGAGTTGTTGAATTGGCTCACTATTTATTTTTCATGCTTTTCTGATGTGAGTTACACTAGGAAGCATCTCATAAAATCTGTAGGTTTGTATTGTGGAGAAAGTGATGTGGAGTAGATTATGGTAACACCATTTAGCACATATCCCATTTGTGAGCAGGTGAGGTTGTAAAAAAATGATGGATTTTAACACTGAGGGCAGTATACGCTCCACCTGTCATCAGGAGATTGATGACATGCAGAGCATACTGCCTGAAATGTTGATCAGTCCATGGGTTCTTTTTACAGCCACCTCACAAGAAGAGATATTTCCTGTATTGTAAATATTGCTTGCCCTTTTCTTTACAAAAAAAAAGAGTTCCAATATTTATGCATGTGATGCTCGCTTTTGTCTTTTACCTTACTTCCTCATACCTTAAAAATGGCTAGCTACCTTTGTCAGGTGTAAAACTTGCTCCGTGTGAATTATGCCTGACGCTGGATTTTATTATTCTGTTGAGCAGAATCTGGACCGAATCAATGGCCCCTCGGATGAAATGGAGTTGCTTTCCTATGTCAATAGGCGATTCAAGACAGCTTTTGCCAGGCAGGAAGAACAGAAGACATTTCCTACATATGATAAACTGGAGGTAAGACTAACCTAGCTAGGATTGCTACAGATTTGGTGAAATGCCCATGAAACAAGTCTAACTTGATCTAAATGTGTAGGAAGCAGTCCTTCCAATACTATTGATAATTAAATCCCGGCAGTAAATTTGGACCACCTGTTTGCGAACAGTTATCATATTGCAGATCTGATTCACAACCGCATTCTTTTGATTTGCCTTTTTGTCCCAGATGGGTAACGAGTCCTGGGGAGCAGATGTCTCCAATCATGCTCTGATCAAGGAATCTAACTGGCTGCCATTCATTAAACTCAAGTAAGAAGGGCATCTGAAATATACGACAGTTAGCATAGGCATTATTTTGTATCTCTGTTTCCTACACCCTGTACATCACAGGCAGAAAAACCATTACCTGGAAAAGTGTGCTGTGAAAATTGTTTTCTCAGACTCTCGATGGTTTGTATGGGACATTGTAAAGATATTTAGAGCTTGCCACCTGATGGTCCAGGGGAAAGCGCAATCCACTGGTATATGTTCAAGTCTACCAAGTGAGTGCATCTCTGCATAATATTGGAAGATAACTGTGTAGTTGATAATGCGGGAATGTGCTTTTCAAGCCATGCTGACAGGTCTGATAAGATACCTACATGTACTTGTGCCACAGTACATGTACGATCTAACTTACAAGTTTGTGAATTACACGTAAAAGGCATGTATAGAATAAGTCTCTATAAGTTTTAACAAAGTGAAATCTTAAAAGCCATATGTAGCACGCAAGGTTCAAAAAAGTAGAAAAAGAACTCAGTGAACAATACAACTTTTCTTCGCCAAATTGTGTGATGTTCCAAATGCTGTTTAGAGGCATAGCCATAGAATCATGTTGGGAGTGGAAGGATGAATATTGTATCTGGGATACACGTCTCAGTATTTTCTTAATAACACCAATAGTTTCAAATTTCCAGTAGAGGAATTACCAGGAGTGATGATTTTATCTATGGGAGAGGGAGATGTGTGCCCCCACCCCTGGCTACACCTCTAACTTTGTTAATAATGTCATTCATTTTGTAACTGATATCATCTACATCGTTATTTAGATGGTGTTAAAGCTTTCTGACGCTAAGTTAACCATGGCGTAAAATATTTGTCATGTGCTGATATATTCCTTCACAAAGAGTATCCATCAATAAACAAAAATTGCTACTGTCCATTGAGATATGTCGTTGAATATTCACACCTTGCATGATTTTCACCTGTGTCCAGGGCAAGAAGAGACCCCGTGCAGGAGAAGATGATGACAAAGCTGAGGCACATCGGCAATGTGGACGAGCTGCTCAGAGCTCAGAGCCGTTTTTTCTCCGTCAATGACATCAATGTGAGAAGTTTCATCTGGGAACACTTTGTGATCATTGTGGCTTGTACAGGGGGGTTATGGGCTGGGGCTTGACATTTTGTCTAACGTAATCACAGTCTGTTGTGTTTTTTGCGTCAAGCCTGCAGGAGTTTTTACAGCAACATTTTACAATAATTTTGACACCTCTCATGTTTTTTTAAAATAAATATGTCAGTTTTAGTCACGGTTATAAAGTTTTGTTTCCTGGGAAACAAGCCTTTTTATCACATATTTTTCCTGCACACATTTAACGTTGATAAAGTACATAATTGTAGGGCTTGCTTAATGCTCTCTCAGCTTTTTTTTTCTTACTGTTAGAAAGAGAATTGCATTGATGACAGATTGCAAAAATTCTCCCTTTGGATGCAGAAAGTTCAAGATGCCCTGAAGGAACATGCTATTGCTGTTCGTGACCCTCCCGCAGTACAGGCAGTCTCGGTCACATCACATCGGACATCACTGGATACTAAGAATGTGTGGAGACAGATATACTCTAGCCCTGATCTTTATAGCAGGTAGGTTGTATGAATCTGCAATCAAAGCAGTACCGGTATCTTAGTTTGAGTCCCTGATGCCAGTCAATTGAAGTCATTTCATTTGTAATTTGTGTCTATGTCTGTTTTTCCTGAAATATTTTTCCAATCAAATCAATCAGAAGAGAAATCAGACTGGTTTCACTGTCATTTTCTTTTCAAACTTGAGCAATTTACTGCTGTAGGATTTCAGTGTGCATTCCTGGGAAGTGAGACAAATGCCCTTGTGACAAAACTGTCCAGCCTGGTGTTCATAGTCACCCACATTGTCTTTTGTCTAGCAGTTCTATTCATTTTCATAATATGAGACTCAAAACGAATTAACAGAATTCATTCATCAGTCATGTTTCTCCATGTTCACATTTTCCTTATGTTCCTGTGCTATTGCCTATTTGAACCAGAAAGAGTTTCTTGTTTACAGAATGTTCAGTTTTGCCACATTGTTTTCAAATAAATATTTATTTTCTTGAAACAATTGGGATCACCAATTAGGCCAGCCCAGACTTACATGCTTAACCACTATCTGCCGGGTGGAATTTTCTTGAGCGGGATGAGATGGTATGACCTTTTCAAGATTTTCCATTTTCAAAATTCTTTAAAAATTCATGTGTTCATCAATGGGGCCCTGGAGCACCTTTGTCTGTGGTGCTAATCTACGGGTGCGCTATGCCCAAAACAGTAGTATACTGTTTCAAAACAGGGCTGGATTACCTTAGAAAAATGGAAGTCGAAAAATGATGGCAATTCCCAGCAGCAGGTCCTTTGTTCCGAGTACAGTCTTTTGTTACACGGACCAGCTCTTTTGTCCCTAACCGGGCACCCCAGCTCTGCGTATAAACACACAGTGCCCGAGACCGGGCTCCCCGGCAAGAAGTGGTTAAGAAATAAAGGTGGTCCCACAGATTTATGGGCTTTACGCCATGCTTCATATCAAACAGCAGTGGCCCAGCGGATGACATCGCCATCACTGACTTTGACGAGAAGGATGTGGACAATATCAATCTGAGCTCGGGCTCCCGCTCTGGCAGCGCGCTGGCCTCGTCACGGCGCCGCAGGAAGGAGGAGACGGATGAGTACGACTACACCAGTGCCCTGCAGCTGCTGGGCCTGGAGGAGGACGACAGCAGCCAGCAGGACCCAGCAATGGTTCAAGGGGGCTACCTGGCCTTCCTGCAGCTCAGGCACCTCAAGATCAGAGACCTTCAGAGGACTGTAAGTAACAATTCAATCGATGCTATGGAGTGGCAGAGTGCTAAAGTGCCAGTGGGATGAGGGGGTCGACCCAGGTGTCCTCTTTGGCCCCCATATGAAATTTTGAATTACATTTATTCACAACCTATGAACAAGCCTGCTGTTCATTGGCTTTCAGTGCCCCTTTGCACCCCATTTAAGTACTGTGGAATGTGCTCCCTGAAAAGAGATCAGTACTCATTTTAATCCTTAGAGAGCTTAGGAGGGAACATTTAGATTATATATTGATATCTTACTGCTTTTTTGGTTTTAGCCATATTCCATATTGTAAATTTATTTTGCAACTTTCTTGGTTTCTTCCATATTGCATGATTATTGTCATCTTGATGTTTCTTCTTTACTCATTATGAAATTAAAGAAATATTAACAAGTAATCCAACTGTCCCCAGGGTTCTGTATCAAAATTTATGACAACTAACATTGGTCAAACTATCCTTCAAGTGAAACTGGTTGAACTATCCTGCTTTAAACTTACAGTTCATCCTCCCCAATGTCATAAAAGGTGTCTGTCCAAGTAAGATTTATTTCAATTCAGAATCATGGATGGGTAGATTTGTTACTTTTTCAATTTTTTTTCCTGTGTTAGTGTTTAGGCATATTGAATTACTTCCGTTCAGTGGAGCGCACTCTCACCATCAATGATGGTGGGCTCTCACTTGAAGGAAAGCAGCAAAAACGTAACAGGTATTAGTTAATTTTTCTCTAAAATTTGAATTTTGTTCATACGACAGCCTAACTTCCTTACTGACTTCTTGTTATGTTGCTTATATTTAATTGTTGAGTAAAATGGTTTGGAAAGGGAATTCGATCTCAGCTCTATAAACTGCACCACGCACAAAATGGAATAAATGGAAGATTTCAGAGAACCATCAGTAGGCCAGGTGATTTTGCACCGTCAGATATGGTTGCTTGGCAATTTTTTCAAGGAAGTAAAATGGCAAATAATAGAAGTGAACATTTGTGATTGTAATGCATTGCATTCACATCATATACAGCATTCTGTAGTAATTTACACACACTGTACATTTTATGGATAGAGAGCCAGTTGTCTCCGTTGACAGAACTTGATATTGACACTGTGTGCAAGATAATTTGGTTGATTAAAAATCACAAAATCTTATGTGATTAATCCACTGTTGCACTGTCTTTTGGCCTTGGCTAAAGGCATCACGCATCACTTTGACCAAGTGTATCAGATATTTTGCTTGAGAGTGATTGTTTGAATTTTTGGTCTGTCTCTGCAGTAAGCAGAACCACAAACAGGGTGTGAATGATGGTGGGCTAGGAGGGGGAGGTGGACTTGGTAGTCATGGCTACCTGCATTACACACCTTCTGAATTCAGGTAAGTCTTTCCTCAAAAACAAATGTCGGTAACAGTGTTTCAAAACAAAAATTGAAAATACGCATCAACTGTTGAATGACAAGTAATATATTGACATGGTTGAGACATTTGTAAGTTTGCTACTCAGATGCTATTCTAATTGAAGAAAATTCATATGATGTCATGTTGGTCAAAGAGTCTATTTGGAGGTTTAATGTGAGGGAAAGTTTAGTTCGGCATTTATTTGTATTAGTGGAGACATACTCCCTCATTAAGGATTTCCAGTATCATATTTTGGAGTGATATTCAACAGGCTATGCCACAGAGTATTTGGAAATTTCCTTCTTGGGAAAATGTTTTGTTTGGAACGAATTCTTATTTGTGTGATAATTGTTCATTTGTAATTACCAAATTCAGGCTGGGTGAGTCTGAATTCCTAGAGTTTTCAGAGGTGGAGAACCATGATGACTTCTACTCTCTGGATGAAGGCCGAGTGCATGTCCAGGATCAACGAGGGTACTATGTTATCTACCAAGCGGCAATGGAGGACTTCAAGTAAGTTCAGTGTTCCACGCCACTTCAGAACTAAATGTTGTGGTCTTATGACTTTGAAAGCTACTGCAGTGCACTATCATCAACACTGCATACACATCAGTTGTAAGGTGGGTTAAGAGGGAATGTAAGATGTACCCTCTAAATATGGAGGATATGTTAGAGGTTGGACTGGCTGTTTTGCTTGACAAGTTTGTCTACATAACCTGTGAAGATACCTGCAGACAGCACTGTGTGGGACTACTGTGAGAACTGACATTGATTGCCACTATGACATGATGGTTTATGAAACTTATGCACAGTTTACCTTTAGATGGCACCATGTAGGTAACTCATGAAAACCAGTAAGGAGAGCAGGCTATGCACCCACTGAATTCTCAGGCACAGAGACTTAGTGTATGCATGCAGCACAGAGCACAAATGACCGGTTGTTTCAATAGTCTGAGCATATTTGTAATACACAGTTATGAGACAAGTTGGTCTTTAATGTTTACTGTTTTATTTCACAGAGTAATAGCATGTTCCATGGATTGCTGAAGGAAACTAGTTTTATTACACCATGAGATAAAGCAGTGTTTGTATTAAAACATCTTTTGCACAGTTTCTGCGTGCTTTAAGCAACATCTGACTAATTCAATAAAAATGCAATTAAAATGTACCTCTATATTTGAATATCAAATTATTCTGTTTAACTTCATCAGAACGTTTCCCAAGCACCTCCTCACAAAAGTCACGAGCACCTGGAAATATACGCAACAAGAGTACCTACACTGTACAATCATTTGTATCCAGTATCAGTTGCTGTGTATATATTTTTTGGTTGCTATGGGTTTTATAGTACTTCTAGGCAGCTCCCAGCAAGACAGCAAAAATAGGAAATACCATGTTACTTGGCTCTCAGACAATTAAAATGCAGAATCTTTGGCTATGCACGTACAGTCAACTCTGGTTACCATGAATACTGTTATAACAAAATACTATTGTAAAGAGCAAATTTAGTAGAATCCCAAATTTCTTGAATTCTTGTGTTTTCTTTGCTTTTCCTGACCGTTTATAACAGAGACCTGGTTATAACAAAGTAACTTTTCTGGTCCCTTTAACTTGGCTAGGAGGAGAGTTGACTTCCTAAGGCCATAAAATGTCCTTTGTAATTCAGAGCCCATTTGAGTACACATTCTGGCAGCTAACAAAATCCTGAAGGGTGTCTCCTTTATATTCCTTGTTCTTTGTTGTAGGCAACTGGAGAAAGACCTGCTACTGGTTGCTACTTGCTTCATAGAGAGAGATCGAGAAAACAGATTTGGCAAGATCGGGCTAAGTAAATCTAGTTCCCAGGGTCGAAGGAAACAGGTAAGAAAAACTGGCATTTTGAAAAGCCTAAAAAAGAAGTTTAAACTTAATATGCCAGGAGGTGAAAGATTTATCATAGATAAATTTGATGTACATCACAAAGTTACATTGTTCCATCCCAAGTGCATTTTCTTTCTCTCTTTTGACCACGAGATGGTATTTCTTTGGTCTCAGATGTGCACTTGCGACCCTATAGGTGGTCAACACAGTGTAGTATTCTGGGCTGATGTGTTATTGCATACTGAAGAAGTCTGAATGTGTCAGAAAGTTCTTAATAACTGTAATCTGTTTCATTAAGGAAACTATTTCTATGAGCCGTGTCCATATAGCTATTTGTCTTTTTGTCTGTCCGCCTAGCTTAGGAAGAAAAGGTTTGGCATTTGTAAAACATTGTGGAAACATTGTGCTGTTGCTTCATATTTCTTGCAACTTTGCCCTATACAGTCTTGCCAAAGAATTTGATTTTATATTAGGTATATACTTGTTTTACATAGTTTTGTTGTATACCGCTGTGGAAATAAGTGTGCGTCTTTTTTAGTTGTGTCAATACATGTAGATTAGATTTAATATGATCCAATGATATTTGTGTTCATCTGGAGAACTTTCCATGGGACCCCATGGCATAAATAATCATACCGTAGCCCAACTTTGCAGAAGATTGTTAGTTCCTTTTGCTGAATTAGTCACAGGCTGCCAGCGACATGGACCTGCCCAGCTATGGTCACCAGCAGGTGGATCGCTTTGCTGTCCTGCTTGACTTGTGGTCCAACGAGGCAGCCTTCCTTGAGAATAAGAGACAGGTGAGAATTAGCTTTAGACATGGGACAGTAATCAGTTAGAAGCCATTCATCAGTATTATTTTGTTTGATATTTAACATTACTTACATGTATGTATGTATTTTGCCTGTGAGGTCCTCAAGAAGTTGTCCTGCCAGTGGCAGATACTGCATTTGAAAAAAGTGGAGAACCCAATATGTGCAAAAGAGGGTGCCCTAAAGTGAAATGAACCAAAAAGTATGAGCAAGGCATATTTTTACCAATAATTTCCATCTTCAAAGTGATCATATAGCCAGTGCACAACAAAACAAAAGGTTCAAGAAAACCTACATACGATGTTTATGTTCACACGTGGACAGGTTGTTCCTTAAAAATGCATTCACTGACACATGGTGTGAATTATACAGTGTGTTTACAGTAAATGAAACCGAGATTAATTTCTTCATTTCTTGGACGTGGCTAAATAATTTGGAAATTGGCAACCACCATTTATTAACCCCTTCGCGCTGGGATGCGGATAGAGCCGCCTTAAAAATTGAGATCCTCAGCTTGCTTTTCAGCTACTATTCTTGGCCAACGCTTGAACGAACACAGTGAAAGGACGCAGATCCTGGCTCTTGTATATATGATAATTGGTCTTTGTGCG